TATAAAGTAATTTGCCTAATTAATCGGCCATTAAATGAGATTACATAAAGCACACTTGTTGATATTTCCCTGTAAACTCCCATAGGTTAAGCTCTCTGCTAGATTAATAATAAGGAAGCAGTGATAATTATGCAGGTGAATTTTGTTTAATATTGCAAATATATATGATATATGTATATATATATCAAACTCAAAGATTAAAAGTTTGAATAGCAGCTTCATTGGAATTATATTTACCTCTGCCAAGGAGGTTATATTTTCACCCCTGTTTGTCATCAACATAACTCAAAAAGTTATGGACCGATTTTGCTGAAATTTTCAGGAAATGTCAGAAGTGGGCCAAAGAGGACAATAATCAATAATAATCAACAATTGCTACCTTGGCAGAGGTCTGCACTCTCGGAGCGCTTTTCTAGTTTTGTTATGTTTTCCTTTAAAATTTTTTCTCAAACACTTGCATTTGTGACTTTTAACTCTCATCTGCCTGAGGCTGTGACATTTCTGTATTTCCACATAAGCAGTTGTATTGTTTTTTATGTCTTTAAACATTATGTTACTTATGTAATATTATTTTATGCACTGTCATCATTTTTCAAATATTGAGACTTTCATCATGTGAATTTAAACTCGTGGTCCTGAAACTGTAATCTTATTGAAAGGGTAGATTGAGACCATCTTCTGGGTCTTCCGGAAGACAGTCAGGTTATTAAGTTTATATTGCCTGGTATCTATTTTTTCTTCTGTTGGAAGACCATCAAAATGGAGGATGGATCAAAATAGATACTTTGGAATACTGTCAGAAAATATCTCTGGGTCCGCTCATGTTATTGACCATTTTACCTGTTGTGCATGATTAAAATTCAGTGTTGACTGACAGTGCTATTATAAGCATTATTTATTATTGCATCAAAATTGACAAAATGACCTATTTTGCATCTTTATTTTCTGTTTTTTGTCTGTACATTTGACAGCTTTGCTGCCTTGTTTATGTTGCAGTCTTATTATTAAAAAATAAACTTGTAGTTATTTCTATTTACTTCAAGGTATAAGGTATAAGTTTAAAATGCTAAAAAGTGATTGTCATAAGTTGTTTCTTTAAAGGAGAGATTGTCATACTTTGTTTCTTTAAAGGATTTGATTAAAAGAAAGTGATTGCAATAATTTTCTTTTTCATGACGGACCTCAGAATATACGGTAAGTACCTATTTTTTATATTATGAATGCAAATGCCTAGCAACCAGCTTTTGCGCAGTCAACACCAATAAAATCTTGTTCAGGGATGAAGTTCACCCCATACCGATTGCTATCTCACCTCAAAATAGAAAGGTGATAAATTGATGATTAAAGCTTTCAGTTGCCTATGCTTATACATTGCAACAAAAATATAAACAGCGATATTTTATATTTCCAAGGGTTTTTTATTGTTTTAAATCAGCACTCAGATAGATGCATTACTGAATAATTGTATGCAGGAAAAACTTTTTTGGTATCTGAATGATGATAAAGGGTTACAATATCCTTAAAAAAGGATCTTTTTGTCAAACTTCACAACAGTAATCTCATTTATTTAAAGATGCATTTGAAGCTAGAGTTGACATGTCAAATCATTGCCACTAAACCCAAACAAATACCACAATATTAATTGTTAAGTAATAGCATAACTTAAAGATATTTGAACCCATATTTTCTGCTTTCTTTGCTAAATTTAAAGGGATAATAACTCTTCGTATGATATCTATATTTCACAGTAAAAACCTTGTGAATAACTCATAGAAATATAATATATTCTGTTTTACCAAAAAACAGCAGTTATAGCTTTTATTCTGATATCTGAACTTGTCTTTAGACCACGTGACCTCCATTGATGTCTATACTCTGTTAAAATCTCTTAAGAGATTTTAACAAAAAAACAAACTTTTTAGAAAAAAACCAGGGACTAACTTTGAATGTAAAAATGGATTCATTAACCATTGGTAAATATTGGAAAATTGTTTTTTACTCCAGGAAAATTCATTTTTTGGCCGAAACGAAGAGTTATTATTGCTTTAACCATCCATTGTTTTTTGCTTAAATTAGTATATTACAGGAATGAAAATTAATGCTTTTTTCCAGTGCTCCTTTGTACCAAGATTTTCAATATACATTGAAACCCGTTATGAAAACAATAATGGAAGCTCAGAAAATGTAAGTTATTGATTTTTTTTTTTGCATTTTATAATAAACCTGCACTTCACAGAATTTTCTCAAATTGATACTGTCATTTGATTTTAATGATTAGAGCCCAGCTTAGATAAAGTTTTAATGAAAATGTATGTATTTCTTTCCTTCATCTGATCTGAATGCAACAGTAACACTGAATGAAAAATATATTTATCTTGTAAATTGTAGATATGGATATTTCTGGCTTTAAGTTCTATTATTGATGATTTTGAAACTATAAGGACTCAAGTTTATTGTGCTTTAGAATAAACTAATTAATTGCTGTTGGTGTAATAAGGCACAGAAGTGAGATTTGAAGTTTGTGGGATTCCATGAGATTTTGATACTTCCGGAGATATTCAGTAATTGTGTAACGTTTAAGCAGTCTAATCAATAGTAACTACAACTGTCAACATGTTTTTGTACCACCAGCGTTAGCGCTGGCGGTACACATGGTTTCGGTCCCGTCCGGATCGTTCCGCCGGCTCCGTTGGCTCTGCCGGCTCCGCCGGCTCCGCCGGACGGCTACCGTTACCGCTTCTCCTCCTAGACGGTAAAGCCCCCTTTACACTGGACGGCGTCCCTTCTGCGTCCAGCAGTTCGGCCCCATTTGAGAGTTAAAGAATTATAATACTTAAC